CGTAAACAAAGATGTCCAAAGGATAAAGATGATTGGGGATGAGTTATGACATGAAATGGAGTTTATGACTTTATGTAATGCTTACGTGCAGGAAAAGTTATTAATAGACTGTTCTTATACATTTTTTATGTCATAAAATAAAATGAGCTTGTCATGCATTTGAATTGTTTTTTTCTTTCTACTTCTTGTTATAGTTACAGTTTCATATCATTAAAACTGAAAGTGAGCTATGTTATGGCAACCTGAGGGCATTCATTGCGATACCTTATTGTAGTAGTTCAAACTTGTGTTTTACCTGAATCAACTTTATTGGCCACGTATGCTTATACACAAGGAATTTGACTTCAGTGAACTGTGATCTCTATGTATAAAGGTATATAACATTAAATATCAACAATAAACACAAAATAAAGACTAATATGTACAATAATAAAGAAGACAGTAGTTACATTTCAATACCAACTTTAATTTATAGAAAACATTATTTCTGCATTTCTGAAATTATACTTAGTCCTTCTTCAACCTTACATCAGCTAATCAGTCCATGTGATAGTACTCTGGAAGTCCTGTGTTGTTGTGATTATGTGATTTATTCCTACTATCAGCTGTCTTTTTTCTTTGATTTAAGAGACTAATAGCCTTACTTGTTTGTCATTGCATGTTACGTGCCCGTTTTAGATACGTCACGTTGAGACATCGAAAACGAAAGTTATTAAGACAGAAGAAGGGAAACGAATGTTAAATAAAGTGGGCGTGTCGATCAGCTGCTGGTTCTATATAAACAATGCTGAGTTCAAACCTGTGTCACAGCTGCTGCTCAGCATCGAGACTTTTCTAGAAGTTTCCCTCAGGAATTTTACAAGTTAACAAAAGGTAAGATCCTTAACACTTAGTTAAGTTTATGTTTCTTTATTTAGTCTACAAGCTGTTTTAGAAGTCTTTTTCTTGTATTTATATCGATACATTTCATTTCAGGCTGCATAAATCATGGAAATAACTATCGTTATGCTGAGTGGTGAATCCCACAACTTTCTGGTGAACCCTAACGACACGGTGGGCGCTCTGAAGAAACTGATCCAGGACAAACTCGGGGTTAGTTCTGAGAGACAGAGGCTGGTCTATGATAACGGACACAGGACTTTTCTCAACGACGACTCGATGCCTGTGAGCGCATACGGCCTGCAGAACGGCTCCCGGGTGTCTCTGATCGTCACCGGGTCCTTCCAGGTGTTCCTCAGAAACGAGAAGGGGAAGTCGTCCACCTATGACGTCACATCGGAGGAGACCGTGAGCGACTTCAAGGCCAAAGTCCAGACTAGAGAGGGGGTCGCGGTGAGCCAGCAGAGGTTGGTTTTCCAAGGCAGAGAGATGGCGAGCGGGAAACTTTCAGACTACGGCGTCAAAGAGCACAGCACCATCGACATGATGATGCGTCTGCGAGGAGGCTGAGGACACCTCTGGTTTCAGCATGTTATTTTACATGAGCTACTCTTTATAAGTTTATAGTTTAAGTTATAAGTTCAAGTGAAGGACGAATGCCATAGGATAAGAAATTACATCAGTGTTTTTATTTTTAACTAGATTTTTCTGTGTCATATTTTTAATTGCCTACTTGCATAATTTCCTTGACAATAAAAACGTGTTAAAGGTACAGCACATCATGTTTTAATTATATTTTCACCAAAGCCTATTGTTATTTAAACTTGGCAATGTTATAAATAAAATCAACAATATGAACTTACATGATTGTAATTCATGTTCTGTACTATTGTAAGTTGCACAAAACTTAAATTAAAATAAAAATGTTTTTCATATAAATGTATTTCCTTGTTCATTATTATATTTCAAAAGATTTTTCCAGTGTTCTATAAACTTTTTTATTAAGTAGACTTACTTTGTTCAGTAATAATGAAAGCAGTCAGGGGTCTGACATATAGCAGCATGTTAAAATGGCTTATCACTTTTGTTAGGGTTTGTTGACAGACAATCATCAGAGCTGCTTTTAGTGAGAATTATTGTCATGTTAAGATACAGGTACGCAGTAGTTCAGTAAACAGATCATGTTAAAGGCACTGTGAAGAAGATTCCTCCAGATAATTTTTCTACGAGCCAGGATGCTTCATTTCCTCACAGATGCTAGGTAGGTGTACCAAAATAAGGCAACCATGTTGTCCCCACCCTTTAGCCTGGAATACACTGCACTTAATACAGGCCTACATCTATTGACATGTATTTAGAAAGATGAGAATGAGATTTTTCAGAATCTTTCTCTTTTAAGTTCCCCAACTTTACACAAGTTGATTTTTTTTTATCTCTGTGTCTTCCCTTTAAAGGGGGGGGGGGGTTATGTGATGACCCACCTCAAGGATGTTCATTACAAAGTGAGGGGGTTCAGTGAGTCGCTGTTTAGCATCCATGATCCTCAAGACAAAGTCAACAAGGAGTCAGTACCTGGTATGCATGCTGAGATTTGAAGTCTATATTTTTTTTTCTTTTTTTTTAGTAAATGCTATTCTGCTTCAGGGACACTTCACCAGTTAGTGTGATGGAGGAACTCTCTATTGATTTAACTCTGTCACTTTGTCACACCTGGAAGCCCATTTACACCAGAAAAAATAATACTGGGGTCAGGTTGGAATCATTCAAATAATATATTTCATAATGAAAATAAGTGCACCAAACCATTTTCCTACCAGGAGCAGAAGCTGCAGCGCCTCTGTGTGGCTGAACAGTGTCAGTGTATGACAGGTGAAGTCTGCCTGTTCATTGACTACAAACACTCAAGAGGCAATTGTAGAGTTTGTTTGGGCCCTAGGCAAATAATTAATTGGGGGCCCCTCCAACCACCATCTCTTTATTTTTTCATTCCCATACAGATAATTCCTCTTCATTTTCTTTTATTGACAAACTTTGGTTTTCACAGCAAGAATGTGTTTTCACAGCAAGAATGTAAGGTGCAACTAACAGGGAATAGTAAGTGCTATCAGATGGGGCACCCTTAGGGAGGTTTTATAATGCCATTGAAAATTTTCCAAAATTTGAGGCACTGCTGTGATTTAAGGTGTGTCAGCCTTTGGGGGCCCACCACTGGCCTTTGGCCCCAAGCAGTTGCCTGCCTTGCCTATTGACAAGCAGCACCTCTGCAAACACTAGCTGCTGGTTGATGTCAGATGATGTTTGATTGTATTTTGTGCTTTGTGTTTTAGGTTTTAACCAGATATTAAAATTCTGTTGTTGCTGATGTTGTCATTTAGCTTGTTGTTGTTGATGTGTGCTGCCTACAGAGCAAAGGTCGATGCGACTTTGACAGTAGCCAAACGAATTGAGGAAACCTGCCAGCCTCACATCAAATATGATAAGAATGAGACTTGTTGTTTATGAGAAGTACATTGAACCCACAGGGAAACAAAAACATCAGCTAATCAGAAACATTTTAAAAAGTTGGCGAACAAAACAACAAAACTGACAGAAAAAGTCCTGATGCTCAGTCAAACGCACAATCTGACACCTTTCAGTAAAGAGAAGAAAATCTAATAGTTTACATTGGAAACATGCAGAACTGCCAATCTATATGTTTGAGGTATTTGGCAGTTAACAACACACAATAAAACAAATGTTTCCTTTCACTCTCTGTTTGTCTCACTGCAGCCTATAGGGTTACTGTGACATCTTCAGCAGCAGAAGGAGACTTTATGACCTACACAGCCACCGTAGATGAAGTTCTGAAAAACACCATTATGCATGGTTATTTTGGCTTCATTAAATCCAGGATGGCCGCAAAACAAACCAGTTTCTGTCCATGCTCTAATCGCTCCGTATGACATCTCTACTTCATCAACATAAACTATGTTTAAGTACAGAGGTGCGTCTTTGAGAAAAAACTGGTCGTTGTTTTTAACTCTGCCTGAAACAAAAGCCTTGTACCTGCATTATGTTGAGTTAAACCACATTTATTTGATGAATCTGTTCCCTTTGTCCATGTTTCCCAGTAAACGATGATTTTGTTAAGATATTTCAGTGGATGTTGTGGATTTAGACAGAGGTTAATATCGCTAATATGAAGCCTAAACGGGTATTTTAAAGAGAATACCTGTTCCCACTTGACAGCTTTAAAAAAAACTTGTTTATCAGATGTCTTTTGACTCAAAAAGGGAACTTGTTAAGAAAAAGGCTACACTTGCTTTTGTAAGCATTACGAAAAAAAACAAAATAACAAGGACCAAAACAAAACGTTTGAATACAAATACCGTAAACAAAGATGTCCAAAGGATAAAGATGATTGGGGATGAGTTATGACATGAAATGGAGTTTATGACTTTATGTAATGCTTACGTGCAGGAAAAGTTATCAATAGACTGTTCTTATCAATTTTTTATGCCATAAAATAAAATGAGCTTGTCATGCATTTGAATTGTTTTTTTCTTTCTACTTCTTGTTATAGTTACAGTTTCATATCATTAAAACTGAAAGTGAGCTATATTATGGCAACCTGAGGGCATTCATTGCAATACCTTATTGTAGTAGTTCAAACTTGTGTTTTACCTGAATCAACTTTATTGGCCAGGTATGCTTATACACAAGGAATTTGACTGTGATCTCTATGTATAAAGGTATATAACATTAAATATCAACAATAAACACAAAATAAAGACTAATATGTACAATAATAAAGAAGACAGTAGTTACATTTCAATCCCAACTTTAATTTATAGAAAACATTATTTCTGCATTTCTGAAATTATACTTAGTCCTTCTTCAACCTTACATCAGCTAATCAGTCCATGTGATAGTACTCTGGAAGTCCTGTGTTGTTGTGATTATGTGATTTATTCCTACTATCAGCTGTCTTTTTTCTTTGATTTAAGAGACTAATAGCCTTACTTGTTTGTCAGTGCATGTTACGAGCCCGTTTTAGAATACGTCACGTTGAGACATCGAAAACGAAAGTTATTAAGACAGAAGAAGGGAAACCAATGTTAAATAAAGTGGGCGTGTCGATCAGCTGCTGGTTCTATATAAACAATGCTGAGTTCAAACCTGTGTCACAGCTGCTGCTCAGCATCGAGACTTTTCTAGAAGTTTCCCTCAGGAATTTTACAAGTTAACAAAAGGTAAGATCCTTAACACTTAGTTAAGTTTATGTTTCTTTATTTAGTCTACAAGCTGTTTTAGAAGTCTTTTTCTTGTATTTATATCGATACATTTCATTTCAGGCTGCATAAATCATGGAAATAACTATCGTTATGCTGAGTGGTGAATCCCACAACTTTCTGGTGAATCCTAACGACACGGTGGGCGCTCTGAAGAAACTGATCCAGGACAAACTCGGGGTTAGTTCTGAGAGACAGAGGCTGGTCTATGATAACGGACACAGGACTTTTCTCAACGACGACTCGATGCCTGTGAGCGCATACGGCCTGCAGAACGGCTCCCGGGTGTCTCTGATCGTCACCGGGTCCTTCCAGGTGTTCCTCAGAAACGAGAAGGGGAAGTCGTCCACCTATGACGTCACATCGGAGGAGACCGTGAGCGACTTCAAGGCCAAAGTCCAGACTAGAGAGGGGGTCGCGGTGAGCCAGCAGAGGTTGGTTTTCCAAGGCAGAGAGATGGCGAGCGGGAAACTTTCAGACTACTGCGTCAAAGAGCACAGCACCATCGACATGATGATGCGTCTGCGAGGAGGCTGAGGACACCTCTGGTTTCAGCATGTTATTTTACATGAGCTACTCTTTATAAGTTTATAGTTTAAGTTATAAGTTCAAGTGAAGGACAAATGCCATAGGATAAGAAATTACATCAGTGTTTTTATTTTTAACAAGATTTTTCTGTGTCATATTTTTAATTGCCTACTTGCATATTTTCCTTGACAATAAAAACATGTTAAAGGTACAGCACATCATGTTTTAATTATATTTTCACCAAAGCCTATTGTTATATAAACTTGGCAATGTTATAAAGAAAATCAACAATATGAACTTACATGATTGTAATTCATGTTCTGTACTATTGTAAGTTGCACGAAACTTAAGGATTTAAAAATTGAAATAAAAATGTTTTTCATATAAATGTATTTCCTTGTTCATTATTATATTTCAAAAGATTTTTCCAGTGTTCTGTAAACTTTTTTATTAAGTAGACTTACTTTGTTCAGTAATAATGAAAGCAGTCAGGGGTCTGACATATTATAGCAGCATGTTAAAATGGCTTATCACTTTTGTTAGGGTTTGTTGACAGACAATCATCAGAGCTGCTTTTAGTGAGAATTATTGTCATGTTAAGATACAGGTACGCAGTAGTTCAGTAAACAGATCATGTTAAAGGCACTGTGAAGAAGATTCCTCCAGATAATTTTTCTACGAGCCAGGATGCTTCATTTCCTCACAGATGCTAGGTAGGTGTACCAAAATAAGGCAACCATGTTGTCCCCACCCTTTAGCCTGGAAATACACTGCACTTAATACAGGCCTACATCTATTGACATGTATTTAGAAAGATGAGAACGAGATTTTTCAGAATCTTTCTCTTTTAAGTTCCCCAACTTTACACAAGTTGATTTTTTTTTTATCTCTGTGTCTTCCCTTTAAAGGGGGGGGGGGGTTATGTGATGACCCACCTCAAGGATGTTCATTACAAAGTGAGGGGGTTCAGTGAGTCGCTGTTTAGCATCCATGATCCTCAAGACAAAGTCAACAAGGAGTCAGTACCTGGTATGCATGCTGAGATTTGAAGTCTATCTTTTTTTTTTTAGTAAATGCTATTCTGCTTCAGGGACACTTCACCAGTTAGTGTGATGGAGGAACTCTCTATTGATTTAACTCTGTCACTTTGTCACACCTGGAAGCCCATTTACACCAGAAAAAATAATACTGGGGTCAGGTTGGAATCATTCAAATAATATATTTCATAATGAAAATAAGTGCACCAAACCATTTTTCTACCAGGAGCAGAAGCTGCAGCGCCTCTGTGTGGCTGAGCAGTGTCAGTGTATGACAGGTGAAGTCTGCCTGTTCATTTACTACAAACACTCAAGAGGCAATTGTAGAGTTTGTTTGGGCCCCAGGCAAATAATTAATTGGGGGCCCCTCCAACCACCATCTCTTTATTTTTTCATTCCCATACAGATAATTCCTCTTCATTTTCTTTTATTGACAAACTTTGGTTTTCACAGCAAGAATGTAAGGTGCAACTAACAGGGAATAGTACGTGCTATCAGATGGGGCACCCTTAGGGAGGTTTTATAATGCCATTTAAAATTTTGCGAAATTTGAGGCACTGCTGTGATTTAAGGTGTGTCAGCCTTTGGGGGCCCACCACTGGCCTTTGGCCCCAAGCAGTTGCCTGCTTGCCTATTGACAAGCAGCGCCTCTGCAAACACTAGCTGCTGGTTGATGTCAGATGATGTTTGAATGTATTTTGTGCTTTGTGTTTTAGGTTTTAACCAGATATTAAAATTATGTTGTTGTTGATGTTGTCATTTAGCTTGTTGTTGTTGATGTGTGCTGCCTACAGAGCAAAGGTCGATGCGACTTTGACAGTAGCCAAACGAATTGAGGAAACCTGCCAGCCTCACATCAAATATGATAAGAATGAGACTTGTTGTTTATGAGAAGTACATTCAACCCACAGGGAAACAAAAACATCAGCTAATCAGAAACATTTTAAAAAGTTGGCAAACAAAACAACAAAACTGACAGAAAAAGTCCTGATGCTCAGTCAAACGCACAATCTGACACCTTTCAGTAAAGAGAAGAAAATCTAATAGTTTACATTGGAAACATGCAGAACTGCCAATCTATATGTTTGAGGTATTTGGCAGTTAACAACACACAGTAAAACAAATGTTTCCTTTCACTCTCTGTTTGTCTCACTGCAGCCTATAGGGTTACTGTGACATCTTCAGCAGCAGAAGGAGACTTTATGACCTACACAGCCACCGTAGATCAAGTTCTGAAAAACACCATTATGCATGGTTATTTTGGCTTCATTAAATCCAGGATGGCCGCAAAACAAACCAGTTCTGTCCATGCTCTAATCGCTCCTTATGACATCTCTACTTCATCAACATAAACTATGTTTAAGTACAGAGGTGCGTCTTTGAGAAAAAACTGGTCGTTGTTTTTAACTCTGCCTGAAACAAAAGCCTTGTACCTGCATTATGTTGAGTTAAACCACATTTATTTGATGAATCTGTTCCCTTTGTCCATGTTTCCCAGTAAACGATGATTTTGTTAAGATATTTCAGTGGATGTTGTGGATTTAGACAGAGGTTAATATCGCTAATATGAAGCCTAAACGGGTATTTTAAAGAGAATACCTGTTCCCACTTGACAGCTTTAAAAAAAACTTGTTAATCAGATGTCTTTTGACTCAAAAAGGAACTTATTAAGACAAAGGCTGCACTTGCTTTTGTAAGCATTACGAAAAAAAACAAAATAACAAGGACCAAAACAAAACGTTTGAATACAAATACTGTAAACAAAGATGTCCAAAGGATAAAATGATTGGGGATGAGTCATGACATGAAATGGAGTTTATGACTTTATGTAATGCTTACGTGCAGGAAAAGTTATTAATAGACTGTTCTTATCAATTTTTTATGCCATAAAATAAAATGTGCTTGTCATGCATTTGAATTGTTTTTTTCTTTCTACTTCTTGTTATAGTTACAGTTTCATATCATTAAAATTGAAAGTGAGCTATTTATGGCAACCTGAGGGCATTCATTGCAATACCTTATTGTAGTAGTTCAAACTTGTGTTTTACCTGAATCAACTTTATTGGCCACGTATGCTTACACACAAGGAATTTGACTTCAGTGAACTGTGATCTCTATGTATAAAGGTATATAACATTAAATATCAACAATAAACACAAAATAAAGACTAATATGTACAATAATAAAGAAGACAATAGTTACATTTCAATCCCAACTTTAATTTATAGAAAACATCATTTCTGCCTTTCTGAAATTATACTTAGTCCTTCTTCAACCTTACATCAGCTAATCAGTCCATGTGATAGTACTCTGGAAGTCCTGTGTTGTTGTGATTATGTGATTTATTCCTACTATCAGCTGTCTTTTTTCTTTGATTTTAGAGACTAATAGCCTTACTTGTTTGTCAGTGCATGTTACGTGTCTGTTTTAGAATACGTCACGTTGAGACATCGAAAACGAAAGTTATTAAGACAGAAGAAGGGAAACGAATGTTAAATAAAGTGGGCGTGTCGATCAGCTGCTGGTTCTATATAAACAATGCTGAGTTCAAACCTGTGTCACAGCTGCTGCTCAGCATCGAGACTTTTCTAGAAGTTTCCCTCAGGAATTTTACAAGTTAACAAAAGGTAAGATCCTTAACACTTAGTTAAGTTTATGTTTCTTTATTTAGTCTACAAGCTGTTTTAGAAGTCTTTTTCTTGTATTTATATCGATACATTTCATTTCAGGCTGCATAAATCATGGAAATAACTATTGTTATGCTGAGTGGTGAATCCCACAACTTTCTGGTGAACCCTAACGACACGGTGGGCGCTCTGAAGAAACTGATCCAGGACAAACTCGGGGTTAGTTCTGAGAGACAGAGGCTGGTCTATGATAACGGACACAGGACTTTTCTCAACGACGACTCGATGCCTGTGAGCGCATACGGCCTGCAGAACGGCTCCCGGGTGTCTCTGATCGTCACCGGGTCCTTCCAGGTGTTCCTCAGAAACGAGAAGGGGAAGTCGTCCACCTATGACGTCACATCGGAGGAGACCGTGAGCGACTTCAAGGCCAAAGTCCAGACTAGAGAGGGGGTCGCGGTGAGCCAGCAGAGGTTGGTTTTCCAAGGCAGAGAGATGGCGAGCGGGAAACTTTCAGATTACTGCGTCAAAGAGCACAGCACCATCGACATGATGATGCGTCTGCGAGGAGGCTGAGGACACCTCTGGTTTCAGCATGTTATTTTACATGAGCTACTCTTTATAAGTTTATAGTTTAAGTTATAAGTTCAAGTGAAGGACAAATGCCATATGATAAGGAACTACATCAATGTCTTTATTTTTAACTAGATTTTTCTGTGTCATATTTTACAGCACATCATGTTTTAATTATATTTTCACCAAAGCCTATTGTTATATAAACTTGGAAATGTTATAAATAAAATCAACAATATGAACTTACATGATTGTAATTCATGTTCTGTACTATTGTAAGTTGCACAAAACTTAAATTAAAATAAAAATGTTTTTCATATAAATGTATTTCCTTGTTCATTATTATATTTCAAAAGATTTTTCCAGTGTTCTATAAACTTTTTTATTAAGTAGACTTACTTTGTTCAGTAATAATGAAAGCAGTCAGGGGTCTGACATATGGCAGCATGTTAAAATGGCTTATCACTTTTGTTAGGGTTTGTTGACAGACAATCATCAGAGCTGCTTTTAGTGAGAATTATTGTCATGTTAAGATACAGGTACGCAGTAGTTCAGTAAACAGATCATGTTAAAGGCACTGTGAAGAAGATTCCTCCAGATAATTTTTCCACGAGCCAGGATGCTTCATTTCCTCACAGATGCTAGGTAGGCGTACCAAAATAAGGCGACCATGTTGGCAAACAGCACTCTGAACTGAAATCACAAACAGACACAGGAACACATAACAGGAAGTGTCAATATGTGATTTAAAATCTGTTCATTGGCAGGATGCCATTAAAATACATACCTCAACAGGCACAAAGTTGATATTGATGAACTGGAAGGGGGTCCACACTTTCCAGTTCATCTTTAAAGCCGTCCAGTAACTTGCACTCATCTTCTTTTCAAAGTCTCCCCACCCTTTAGCCTGAAAATACACTGCACTTAATACAGGCCTACATCTATTGACATGTATTTAGAAAGATGAGAAAGATATTTTTGAGACTCTTTCTCTTTTAAGTTCCCCAACTTTACACAAGTTGAATATTGTATCACTGTGGCTTCCCTCTATGGGAGGGGTAGGGTAAGTTTCTGTGACGACCCACCTCAAGGATGTTCATTACAAAGTAGAAT